TCCTCATTGACACGAAGGGCCGAAGGACTCTTTGCATGATCGTGAGTCAACATGAACCAAAGTTCTTGAACATAGACTAACAGCTCTAGACCTTCCCTCTGATGTGCATTTTCCTCTTGGCTGCTGGTTTGTCCCTTTTGAACCCCACTACAGATCGTGGACCAAAGATTGGACCGGTCGCTCTGTGAGTATCACCACTCGTATGTATGGCTTACCTAGGCTAACACTCTTGCGATCCAGTTTCATCTACCTGTTCACCATCTGTTACTCCCTCGGCGAAGGCCCCGTCGCTTTCCAGTACTCCGCCGAAGTTTTCCCTACCATCCAGCGTGAGCAGGGAATGGCCTGGGTTGTTTGCATCAACAACACCTTCGGTGAGTCTAGCAACAGTTCACGCTTGGGATATTAGACTAACAAGTTGTACAGCTGGTATTCTTAGCTTGACCTTCCCGCGCATGAGCACTGCCATGACTCCAACTGGTGCCTGTGAGTATTCCAAGTGATTTGGGTCCTAAATTCTGCGACTGACCTGTCGGCCACAGTTGGCTTCTACGCTGGATTGAACTTAATTGCCTGGTTCATGATCTTCTGTTTCGTCCGAGAGACCAAGCAACTCACCTTGGAAGAGTTGGATCGTAAGTCAAACTGTTCTCTCCTGCATTACGCCGTGTTGCTAACCCCACTACCAGAGGTCTTCTCCGTCCCGACGAAGCAATTCATCAGCCACGAGATCAAGTACTCTATTCCCTACTTCTTTAAGCGCCACGTCTTCCGCCAGAAGGTTCCCAAGCCTCCCGCGATCATCGCTGTCGCGAGCGAGTCGAAGAAGGACAACGGTTCCAACTCGGCTTAGATTTGACCGATTGGGCGTGGACATATTTTGTGTGGAGGAATACCCAGGACGTCGAATGGATGTGTTGTGATTGGTTCACTCGTTATGAGATATCCCAAGACTAGTACCAATCGAAACTTCGAGCCCATATCTCGGGTGCAGATTCGAATAGATCACGTCTTTTTTTTTTTTTTTTTTTTTTCAAACTCGAAGTTGGGTTAGGGGTAGTATTGAAAGATGATATGAGGTCTACTACTTTACTTCCTTGTCTAGACCCTCTTCACGTGAGACTGAATTTCTGCCTAATGACTAGCACAATAATTGGCGTGTAGAGAGACGCAGCAAGTGGATCACGATCTGGGTTGGGCCATGTCCTGGCTTCTAATTATTGCACTAACAGCCACGTGTAGCGTCAAGTAATCGAGCCAGCTGTGGCCATCGTCGTCATTGTCGAAACGGTTCTAGTCTAATCTTTACAGACTGCTATCGCCTCATGAATAGAATAGTCTACCACCCATGGTCCACTTCAACCGGCGCCTCTCATTTGATTCCACACAGGTACAGAATCTCTCCTGTGTCCGACACTTCGGAAGCTGTGTCTGGGTGTACTACCCGCCATCGGGTTGAAGTGGCGGAGGTTATGCCACGCCTGGTTGGTGATGTCAACTTCGAACCCCACAAACGTCCAAGAGCGGAGTGTGGGATGTTGACTTTGCTGCGAGAAGCTTTCTTGATAGGGTAAACGGTCGAAAGACGTAGGTGAGCGCTGCGAGGAACATCGAGATGCTGGGACCCGTATAGTCAGCAACGCGCTCTTTGAAGAAACCGATGTTTCCTAATGTACCACGACTTTGGTGAATGAAGCATCTCCAAAGAATGAAGATCGTTGGCGGAAGCCCAACGACGAGCGAAACAATCGCAACGATAGCTTCGAGAGTCATCTCCATTTTAGATGCGGGCCAGGTTTAAGACGGCGGCAATATTAGTCTCTTTCCATGAACGTATCTCAAAGATGGCCGTATCGAGGGTTCAGAGGAAAGAGCCAGGAGAACTGAAGTTGGAGAAGGAAAAAGGTAAGTATATTTTGAGGTTTGTGATCCGGAAGACGATGAACGCTAACATCAAATTTAAGAGCAACGGTAGCGACTGTTTTGGGGGGCTGCTATCTTATAACCTCGCCAGGGATCTGAAGGGAACCACAAAGATGCTGGAGGCCATTTTCAGACTTCATAATGAACCAAAAAGACGCAAATTACAGCATCGGGCGGACCTACGCCGATGTGCACACATTCCAGTGATGTCGCCCTCGGGGTCACTTCAGGGGTTTCAGACTGCGGAATAAACCAATAGCAGCATTCTCTGGCTTATTTTTAGTGGATTATGAAGCTGTTTCGTTTCCATTGCGACAAGAAGATGCCATCAGTCAAGTACGTACTTATCACCGACGGGTTTTGAGATACCGGACTTGACCAATGAAGGCACTACACCACGTCGTTGTCTCAGAAAAGCCGCCTCAAAAGAGGGGCTTTCAGACATTGGTCTCGATCAAGGACTTTGAGCGTGGTCTGAGCCTCATTTTAGATTCAGATACTGGCTTCAGCCAATTACAGCCATTAATGCTGATGCTCTGTGATGTTTAAAGGCTCTGGTTTCCCCCTTTGCTGTTCTTTTTCACATTACCAGCCACAGAGACGCTGAACACCTTCCAGCATTCCTTGAATCATCATTTACCCAAACTTTCTCAGCGGGTGCGCAAGCTGTCACTTCGTTGTCTCCTCGATCAAGGCCATGGCTTCTTCCTGTTCCGGAAAGCGGCCCTCTGATGCAGCATGGCAGAAACACAGATTTACCATAGAACGCATGTTCGTCAACGAAAAGAAGTCTCTTGTCGAAATAAGACATCATCTAGAAAGTGACGGGTTCCGAATCACGTGAGTCTACAGCTCTGTATCTAAATCACTTCTGCTGACTGATTTATAGCAAGGCACAGCTCGAATACAAGTTGAAGCTCTGGGGATTACGCAGAAGAACACCGAAAACCAAGGGTGATGCTGTCTGGCAATTCATTGGTCGTCGTGTTCAACGAAGGAAGCAGCAAGGCAAAGAAACCGAGGTCGTGCTTGACAAGCAAATCTTCGATGCTGCCAAAGTCTGCAAAGAGATTAAGCGGTACCAAGAAACCACAATTTCCAGATTCAATCAGCGTATGCCTCCGTGATTAAACCCTATCATACTTTTCTATGTGCTTACCTATACAGTGAGTCCAATGACCCCGGAAGGCCTAGAGATTTCCCTTTGCACCCCTGCACCCCTGCCCATGCGATTCTTATGGCCAGCTAGTATGCCTTGGAGCAGATTCCAAGACAACTTTCTACTCGGTAAGTCATACATGGGTCAGTGGTTTCATCAACACTTGTCTTTAACATTGTGAAGTCTTCTCTGGTCCTGGCTTATTCAAAAACATGAACAACATATTAAAGGAGTTTACATACCAGAAGCAAGACCCATCCTTCACCAACATACTACAGGTTATCACTCCTCAATATGCAGCCAGAAACAGCATTACTCAACTGGCCGCCGAGATCGGATCCATTATGCCAGAGACCCATGAGAATGAGCATTTTGGTCGGGCCAATCGACTTCTCCAGGGCACGGCCGACCAACAATATAGCGAATGCATCAAGGTAATTCTGTACAAGATTTCGAACAACCTCTTCTCGGTCGATGAAATCTCGCGCACGGAATGGGAAAGCATCGCCGACATTCTGGAAATATCAGACATCATGAAGCTACCTCTCCAACTCGAAAACATGACAGACGCGACAATGGCCGCAATAATGGAAAAGCTTTTTCAGCGTGCCATGTCTAATATCGACTTAGAGTCACCCAAAAACTCCCTGGATAAGTCCTCCGACAGCAGAATCATAACCTGGTCATTGCAATCCGGTCAGAACCCGGATATACGGATCCCATACTATGATATGTCTGCATTGCAAATCGCAGCTCGAAAGAGATTTCTGCCGCTAATGTCACAACTTCTGGACCATGGGGCTGATCCTGACTTGTCATATGAGCCGTGGGACGAGGGCGTGACCGTCAGATATTTGAATCCTTTGCTGGAAACAGTTCGTCACTACAACGGCTTCGATGAAGGACATTTGGGTATGATTGAGCGCTTGGGTATGATTGAGCGCTTGCTGAAGATGAGTTCAGGCGTTTCCATGGAATCTACTATCAGAATGATCATGGGCAGCAGAAGTTACTTCCCGGAATTGACGGAAGTGCTCACTCGCAATGGAGCTCACATATTCCAATCGATCAAAGCCAGGACTGATGCTGCCTGGTTCATCGACACATTCAGTATCATCGGCTATACGGTCAAATACAGTAGTAAACCAAACGAATTGCATCCATTCTTTCGCTTGCTAGAAGATGCTGGGATTCAGAATCGCTCCCAAATCCCGGAAGATGTTGATACGACAAGCATCGTTTTGCTTGCTGCGGCGGAAGGCAACACTGCCTTTCTAGACGACCTACACAGTTATGGTATTGATATTACCGCCATTGGGAATCTTGGATGTTCGGCAATACACGTTGCTGCGTACTACGGGCACCTCGAAACTTGCGAAAAGTTGGTCTCGGGGCGCTATGCGCCATTGAACCCGTTTGGGTTCAACAAGCAGATACCTTCTCTCCTTCACTTCGCCGTGGCTGGATGGAACTTAGATATCGTTCGTTTATTCCACCAAAGCAATGTCGACGTCAACGAGCCTTTTGAAGACAAGCAGGGAGAATGGTCTGCATTTTGTAGGTGGGGAGTGAAACAAGGTCGAAGAGAATGGGTCAGCCGTTCGTTCACTGCTGTTGAAGTAGCGATGGATCTCTTCAAGTACGACATCGCCCAATACTTACTGGAAAACGGAGCGAAGGCGCCACCCTTGGATCTCTATCCGGTCACATACCACCGCAATGACGACGCCGCGCAGGAACTTACCATGCTTACTCTAAATGCTGGAGCAGACTCATCTTGGGCAGTCTGTATACCATCAAACACCTATTCAATTGGAATGTGCTCTCGGTTTCGAGTAGCATTATATCAAGGAAACAATCTTTGGCACGGCAGTTGTTTCTTGATGCCCAAGAAAACGACCTATGGAACGATCCCAACATGTCGATCCTAGAAGCAGCTATAATCATCGGCCTCGAACATACGGTGGAAAACAAATTCGCACAGAATCCAGGTGCTTATGATCCCGGTGCTCTTTGTGCCAAGGTTATATTCTCTCCAACGTCCAGCGATAGCGTAGCCCTTCGTCAACTGCTCTCGAACCGCCCTCAATCCAAAGAAACATCACCTCTAGAAGCGCTGGCTATCGGATTGGCTGCATGGAGTGGCCAGACGGAAGTACTCAAGCTACTTCTAGCAGCATTTGACCAGCCGGGACCGGCCAAGGCACCCAGGAAGCTGCTCTGGGGCCTACCATTCTTTTCTATGGCCAGAGTTGTCGATCACAGGTTGCCTTTCGAGCATCGATCTTGGGAACTCCAATCCATTTCGCCGACCGTTTTCGCGCTCAAGTCGAAAGAAGCGCTGTCCCTCATGTTAAAGCATGGGTACAAGCCTGACAGGGTCACAATGCGTGCGGCGATTGCTGATTTTGATCGGGACATTCTCAAAACATTGCTGAAATCTCCCAGACTGTCAAATTTCCCCGACTACATCCAAGGGCCCCTGTCTTACGCCGTGAGGCATAAAAAGTACGATGTTGTACAGTTTCTTCTGGAAAATGGAGAAGACGTTAACGAGGACAATCATCATGTGAACGACGAGAACGACGAGTTCGACGAGAGTGCTAGAAATCCCCTACAGTCAGCTGTCGAGAACAAGGATCTATATCTCATTGATCTGCTACTTAAGTCCGGTGCTGACGTCAATGCTCCCGCCCCCAGACGCAGTGGGGCAACCGCTTCACAAATTGCAGCCATCACGGGGAGGCTAGGGATTCTGAGAACATTGATCGACCATGGAGCCGATATTAACGCACCCGGTGCTGAATCCGGAGGTCGCACAGCACTAGAGGGTGCGGCGGAGCATGGAAGGATTGATATGATCCAGTATCTTCTCGCCATAGGGGCGCGCACAACTAATAGAGATCGCCTGCAGTACCTTCGCGCGATCCGATATGCCCAGATGGAAGCGCACGAAGTCACGGCAAACCTTCTCAGAGGTTACCGAGACTGGACGACAGACGACCAAATTCTATGGACAACGTTGGTGGGGCTGAATCGTTCACAATTGGAATCCTTCAAGGAGGAGACACACGAAGTATCTCCGTCATTGAATCTGTTGGGGGATAACATGGCTCTCAAGGACGACGAGGTGGAACACGCGTCGAAGAAGGACAGCTCAGACCATCTGGAGCCTGAGGAAGACGTCCGTGGCCCCGTCGAAGAAATGGAGCTGCCTGATGACTTGCAGGACCTGGAAATAAGGACGAACGATCCTATGGTATTCATGATAGAGGAGATGTGAAGGGATTATCAATTGACGTTGGTGTCTAACATCATTATTTTCCTAGACATATAAGGAAATATAAGTGAAAATTTAGAAGTGTGGAAAACAAAAACCATTTTGAGGATAGACGGCTTTGTTTTAGGCCAAGGCACTCTAAGATTTCTTACTTCTGTTGGCCAAAGACTCATCTATGGATCACCTGAGTGTCGATGGGGATATCAGATCTCTGGCAAGCTCAGCTACCATCTCTCTGGCTTTAGCCCCCTTGGCTGTTGTCAACCTCTTGGTCGTGTCCTCAAGTTTGTTCCAGCACGACCTCAGTGAACTTGTTTTCGGTTCCCTTCGAGACACTCAAGCCAAAACTTGACATTGCCTTGACCATTCTCGGCCTTCAGTAGCTTCGCAATGTCCTCATCGTTCAACTTTGAGCTGCCATAGATCTGATTGACTCGGGCGCAGTAGATGATAAGCGCCGCCAACCCAGCCCCAAGAGCAATTGCGACTAATGAAGCGGTCTCGGGAGTCAAGCTTAGGACATGCCCCGGGCCACGGGGTGCTTCCCTGTCGAGGACCTCAACTCCAAGAAGTATGAAGTCAACGTTCGAAAGGTCGTCCACCCAATCGTAAGGAAGTTTCCAGGGTGAAGCCGTGTTTAATAAATATATTCAAGCTCACAGCTGAATTTTGATGCTTTTGCCAAGTTATCAAACATTTTACACCACTAGACGAGTAAGGACCAATGTAAATGGTAAAAGTTTGTTTCGGGATGCTTTTTGGGGATTTCGTCCCACCCTCAAAATCTAACCGAAGGGTATATGCGCTCTAGAGGAACCATATTGTAAGGGGCTGGCCCCTAGGCTTGTTCAACGTAGAGGTGCCGTCGATTGACTATTCTAAGCTGAAGAAGGAAGAAAGGACTTTACAAGGGTAGGCACCTAACAGCGGTGAAGCAGGCCGGGTTAGGCGGCGTACTGC